CACATTCTGACAGCAAAAGTCTTTAATTTTATTAGTCTTATTTCATTTTGTGTGTGGGAGGCTGAGTCCAGTTAGTGACATTTTTTCCCCCCATAATGGGGGTGAAGAGAATCTTGGCTTGGAGGCCTTTGCGTTCCTGTACTGTTTTTGTATGAAAGCTGATAGAGGGTGAAGTGGTTAGCTGATGTTACTGTTTTTCATGGAAAACCTAATTAAAATGACAGGAAATTTTTAAAAAAGTAAATTTCTTTATTCATCATGCTTCTACCAATTGTCCCAGTGGTGAGAATATTTGTTTTCTTGATACTGCGCTTCAATTCATACTGCAGACTATAGTCCTTGACTCTCTGCAGCAAATGTTTCAAACCTTCCTCAGTTTCAGCAAGCGAGATTGTGCCATATACATTACACAGGTTGTTCTTGAGTCTTCCTCCAATCCTGGTAGGACATTCCTCTTCATAAAGTCCAGCATCCTGAATAGTCTGTGGTGCATACAGAGTGAAAAATTATGGAGACTGGCCACATCCTTGATGAACTCCTTTTCTGATTTTGAACCATGCAATGTTCCCTTGCTCTGTTCTAATGATTGCCTGCTGATGCAAGTATAGGTTTCATATAAGCACACTCAGGTATTCTGAGATCTTCAGTCTTCTCAAGGTTTTTCACAGTGTGTTGTGATCCACATAGTCAAATGCCTTTGCATAATCAGTAAAACACAAATAGACATTCCTCTGATATTCTCTGCTTTTGCCCAAGATCCATTTGACATTGGCAACGATGTCCCTAGACATCATAAAGAGTCATTAGAAGAGTGCCATGACCTCTTCTAAACCTGGCTTGTATATCTGGTAGTTTTCTGTCAGTGTACTGTCCCAGTAATTTTTGGATGATCTTCAGCAGGATTTCCTTGCATATGATGTTAGTTATATCATTCGATAATTTTCTCACTCCGTCAGATTGCTATTTTTTTTTTAGGATAATAATCCATATAGATCTCTTCCACTTAGTTGGTCAGGTAGTTGCCTTCCAGATTTCTTGGCCCAGCTTGGTGAATATTCCCAGGGCTGAATATGTCTATTAAAATATCTAAATTTGTATTCTATTAGCAGAATTAAAACTTGAGTATGTCTGACATCATAACTCAGATCAATTTGCCTATACTAAACAGCTGTGGATGTTGCAAAAAAGAATGTACTCCAAGTAGACCTGAAATCTCTCAATGCATTTTTGTTAGGTGCCAGTGAGTCAAATACAACTCACTGGGACACTATGAACAATGGATATGTACCCTGCCTTATCCTGTACCATTCTTATAATCTCTTATACTTGAGCCTATTGCTACAGTCACTATGGTCATCTGTTTTGTTGAGGATTTTCCTCTCTTTTGGTGACTTTCCTCATTTCCAAGCTTGATATGTTTTCCAAGGAATGTACCCTCTTAACATGATGTTCAAATGCATTAGATGACGTTTCATCATCACTGCCTCTAAGGAGAACCCCAGCTGCACTTCCTTTAAGATACATTTTTTTATTTTTTGGGTTTTGGGATTTTTTTTGCAATCCATGGGATGCTCAATACTCTTCTCCAATATCATAACTAAAAGGTATCAATTCGTCTGTCATCCTTATTCATTGTCTAATTTTCAATAAATATCAAGTTATTTAAAAGGATAAAGCTTCCATCAGATGCTTCTTAGTCTTTAAACTATCATCTTTGCTCAACATCTTGTAAAGGTCCTTGATGGTACGTTTTCCCAATGCAGCACAGTTTCCGCCCCTTTCTTGCCTGCTGATATCAATGTTGCTTATTGTGGATTCAAGTAAGAGGAAATTATTGACAACTTCAATCTTTTACCGACCATGATGTTGCCTAGTGGCCCTGTGGTGAGAATTTTTGTCTTCTTGATGTTGAGAGGCAATACATACTGAAGGTTGAAGTCTCTGATCTTTGCATCATATGCCTCAGATCCTCCTTGATTTCTCTATGAAAACGGTCTTCTTATAGTGTCTGTAGGATTATAAACTTCCAATACTAAATATTCTCTTGTTCTCAAACCTCCTCCTCACTGATTTGGTCCTGGGAAATTGACCTGTAGGTGTTGCATCAATACACTTAGCCCGACTTTTCACTTGGGTATGGATCATGGGAGGATTTCATTTAGGAGAAATTAATAGTCTTTTTTGACCAAAATAAAATCATTTAATTAAACTAGTATTTTACTTCCTCTCTACCTTCAACTTAATATTTGCTTAGCATGTTTTTGCTGTTGTTGTTGATTGTCACTGAGTCAAACATGACTCACAGCGACTCTATGAACAAAAGATCTTATGACTTTTCACAGCTATCATGATTTAATTTCATTTCATTTTGTAAATTCATAGAGTTTCCATAGGCCTGTGGTTTAGGAATCGGATGCCACTCCTGCTCCCAAACCTGTTTTACAACTGGGAGCTCCATTAAACACTGTCCACATTGAGAAACTATTATGGCATTTGACACCTCAATGAATGGCACAAGGTTCAGCATCACAGCAAACTCAATTTACCTCAGTACAGCAAATTGACAAAGAGTGATGTACAAAGTAGAAGAATGTTCCTCCAAAATATAAAAATACTAGTCTCACTTAGCAGTGATTAAGTGTCGTCAAGTTGAATATGACTCATAGTGACCCTATGAACAAAAGACCTGAGCTCTATTCTACACAACATCATTTCTTTATGTTTATAGAATGCAAATATCTCACAAACTCCTGTTATTCTGCTATGCTAATTGCTAGAAGCCATAAAAAATCATTTCTTTGGTCAAGTCGCAATTTGAAAGAAATACACTCTAAGAAGAGAATTTTTGACACATTTGCATTTTGTATAAAATAAGCTCAATAAATATTTATTCTTGACAAAGATATCTTAGGCCAACCTTGTTTGAAGTTTTCATCCCATGTAAAGAGTTTTTGTCTAGCCAGTCCTGTACCAAGGACTGTTACAACAGGAAGTAAAATACTAGTTTAATTAAATTATTTTATTTTAGTATAAAAAGACTATTAATTTTTCCTAAATGAAATAAGTTTTCACAAATCCCTCAGACTTGGGGTTAAGCCTGAATATGTTTAAACATCTACTTGTGATATTTTGTGGTCCCACATGGGGGATATATGGCTATGATTGAAAATTTCTGAGATTAGTTTTTGAAATCAATCCTCATTTCTTCATTCAATTAATCAGTAGAAGCCTATCTCCTTACCCCTCATATAGGCTCCTTGTGACATCCAAAACTAACCAAATGACTGTATTAAAATATTTTTACTCCCTGAACTATATCTGTCTTAGAAATTAAATTGGAGGTATCAATTATCAATTTTATAAACTGATGTTTCCCTGCATTCAGATGCATTTTCTTAAAAAACTCCTTAATTTTATTTTAAAGATTAAGATAGTTCCTCACTGTCCCTGTCCCCACTACAATCATTCACTAATTATCATCCAGCTGGAATAGACTCAGCTGACTTAATAGTTGATTTTTTAGAGGCTGTACATTGTAGAAGATGAAAGTGTCAGAGAGGTAGTGCCATTGGGTTAACAGCATAACTCCCCTGTAAACTATTTCTTCACAGCTCCCATAAGATTATATTTACTTATTTCTTGAGTAACAGGGTTAAGGCAAAGGATTTAGAGCATTTAAATTCATCTAATATTGTGATTATGGGATTAATCAGCATGTTTAGTGCTCACTGTTTCCTTTCTTCTATCGTTATCAACATATTTAAAGTGTCTTGTTCCCTTTCCTCTATCTATTAAATCTGGGGACACCATAGGTAAAAGTGTCATTGTAGCTCTGGTGGTCTAGTGGCAAGAAGCTGGGCTACAATCCTGAGAGCAAGTGGTTCGAGTCCACCACCTGCTCCACAGGAGAAAGATTAAAGATGGACAGTCTCCTTCAATGCTATTAAATTCCAGCTGAAAACCCACTGGAGCATACGCTGTGGGTTGGTTCCAGCTTAGTGGCACACAGCACAAACAATAGTCTTGCTGGGATTAAAATGAAGAAGACACGAGGCAGAAGTTTGTGCTTGGAAAATTGAGCTTTCAGAGGTGGAAGCCAATATTGATATACATAGAATTAGTGTTTTTCATATATGAGTGATGTCAGAAGCAGTGGATGTTTTGGGTGCATAAATGATGCTGGATAACAAGGACCAGAATGAGAATGCCCACTAAACTTTGAACTCTCCGTGGCATCATCTCACTGGCCCACACTCCAGCTTTTAAGGCCCACCTAGAGAAGGCCATACATGAAACCTCACCTCAATAGTATGTACCTCTATTCCAGATTTCCTTTGAAGGAGGAAGGCCCATTCCTTTAGGATGTAACTGACTAATAAGTCTGTCTTTTTACCTTCTCTTCAGACTCCTTTTTTTTCTTTCTTGGCCCCATGCTCTAGCAAAAAGCGTGGGCCAACACTTTAGTTCTCCATGAACTAAAGTCTGCTCTCCCAAGAAACCGTGAAACATTGTCCCCTTCTCTAGTCTCTTTCACCCGGAAAAATTCCTTTGCCTGTGGATGAAGGGCACACTAGGGAACACAAGGTAACAGTCTTGGCTCTCAATATCTCTCCAGCAACTCCTTCAAGCTGATGATACCTATTTCTGGTCATTTTCTTTTCCTTTTATCTCTGCCTCATCAAACCCAACTGCTCTGTTAGACACCACAGCCCCTCCAGTCTTCTTGATACATAGTAGTGGGTTTTGCCATTTACCCAGAGAAATGATCAGCAGATACATGTTTTCCTCTCGCCATTCCCTGAAAAGGAATGCTAGTACTGTTTGGCACCAGAGATAGGTATATTTCACCCTTAGCCTTAGCTCCCACACCCAATCTGTGAAAATCACCTCAGAATTTTAATAACAGCATTTCAGGGGTGACTTTTGGCTTCTTCCAGTGTTTCTGGCTTCATCTTGAGTTTCTTTAACACCTATATATTAGGTTTTTCCTACAACTCAACAGTACTTAACAGCAACAATAAAGCTCTTTTGGCATAGTGGATAGAAAGTTATGCTACCAACCCAGGGGTGGATGATTTTAATCTGCAGCCCTCTGGCCTGGTTTTAAATATCTTTGGCCAAACTTTCTTCTGAGTGGTATAGCACTGGTCTGTCCATTTGCTGTACAGAGGTAATCATGGTTGCTGTGATGCAGAACACTTGACACGAATGTGTCAAGTGCTATAATGGTTATCCATGACAGTTTGGTGGAGTACCCTGATTAAAACAAACTTGGAAGCAGGAGTGGCTTCCACCTCCAAAATAGCTTCCCTCTGAAACTCAGTGAACTTCAAGAAATAATGAAAGTTCTACAAATGTTCAGGTCTTTCATTCGATGGCACTTAACAACATTTCAACTTTCATTCGATGGCACTTAACAACAACAAAAAGAACAATGTATTGATTAAAAACTTTCTCTTCTTAATGCTGCATCTGTAGTTACTTCTATTCCTTCCACCTCCCAAATTATTGATAATACTTGGACTGAAAATTAAGTTTACTACTAAGAATTCTAAAATTGGGAATAAATGCAAACATTAAAATATAAAATATAATTTCATGGGAAGAACATAAAATCATATGTGGCCTAATGAATAATTCGAAATATAGAATGGTGAGAAAATAAGGGATAGTAATGTTGGGCCTATGGTAGAATTCTCATCTTTCAGGCAGGAGACCATAGTTTGATTTCTGGCTCGTATAACTTGAGCACTATCACCACTTTTCTGTCAGCAGAGGCTTACAAGTTGCCATGATGCTAAACAAGTTTCAGCAGAACTTTCATAAATAGGCACTTGAATTAATTTAGTACAGGGATGTCCGAGGCAAGTTTTATCTGTGTTCAGACATGGTTACTATTCTACTATCCTAGATCCATGCTCTGCTCTAAAGTAAAACAAACATTTCATTGAAGATACAGAAATAATTTTGAAATGAAGAGTCATTAAAATGCATCAGTGCAAAAAAGTAGCTAAATTTTTATTTACAAGGGGATAAATATAGTTTGTGTGTGTGTGTGTGTGTCTGTGTGTTGAAGGCACAAATAAGAGAGAAATTGAGAAGTAATGATATATGTTACAAAGGATTTGTTCAACTTCATCAAGTGTAAACATAATCCATAAGCATGTGTGTCTGTCACTTTTTGATGTTGGTACATCTTGAAAGTTTAAAAAAAAAAACATTTCACAAGGAGCTAATTTTCTATAGTGATTTCAGTCTTTTTTCTTAATAAAGTCAATCTTTACCTTAGTTACACATTTACAGCGAGCTACAATAGAAAATCTAAAGATTGTAATTTCAGAGTCAGGATATGAACTAAGACTTCATAGATACCAATTTTAACTATGAAGTCATTTACAAGCTCTTAACTTCATTTACCATCATCAACTCCATGATATTCTACTGACA